CATGAGTATATAAATGTAGATTGTAAAATAAATTTTCATTTTTTCAAGTCATATTTTTTTTCTCATATGTGTTTCATTACGGATGAAGGTTGATAGTTTTCGTAAATATAGCGATCGTTCAAGCATAGTCCATGCTAAAATTTCAATCATCTACGTGTTATTCTTACAAATTAATCAAATTTGTTTTTTATTTTGTAAAATATTTAACTTCCTAGAAGCATAGGTTATTTGCTATATTTACTTTACAACATCAAAAACTCACAGTCATCTAGTTTCATTTAGCTTAATAGAAAAAGAAGTTGTCATTTAATTCAGAAAAAAGACAGTTTTCCATGAACTTATTAATTTTCACCAAGATAATTATTAATATATTTTCTCGTTGCTATGAGTTATTAGTATTAGTGAAAAAGAAACCGAATAAGTTTTCTTTTCTCAATTCATAACGCGATGTGAACAAACGAACGAAATACAAAAAAGTGATAGATAGACTCACAAAAGTTACTCGCGGTAAGCAAATGATTAAACAAGTCGAATTTTTCTATGCTGAAGGATTCTATAAATAATTGAAACATTTTTATGATTTTGACGTTACTTATATGTCTGTTGGAACAAAACATAAACTGTTAAGCTACTAGTATACAATAGATTTAAAAGTCTAATCCATATATTGACCATATCAATTTCAACCAATATAGAAATATTTACAAAAAAAGATATTGTTTGTTCGCTTAGAGAAATAGTCCATAATGTTCTTATTTATGTTATGATCATAAATATCTTGCCGATGTTTGATAAAACATTTAATAGAATATTATTAATATTTATTGCTTTAAGTTTTAGTAGAACGCAATAGTAGTATTATATTTAATCAGTGATTGTTGTGATTCATTATCAGATGTTAATTTTATTCATTATTTTCTTTCTTTCCTTTTTATCTTCTAATTTAAAATATTTGAATTTATTTTTAACTTTTTAATTTGATCAATATTCTGAATTTCAAACGAATCTTTTTAACAACACAATGCCGTGTTTATCAACGATAAAAAAGTCTGCATTTAATCAAAAAAATAGAACAACAAAAATTATCAAACATATCGAATATCTGTCTAAAATAAGATACTGTTATTCAGTCAGTTTTTTTTGAATTCATCGAACTGTGATAAATTTTTAACATATATCTGTTGTGCTGAAGTTATTCTATGTTAAATAAAAAGCTAAAAATTCGTTCAATGACGATGATATCATGAAAAAATATTATTTATATTAAAGTAACAATCGAAATTTTTTTTTCCAAAATAAATGAAAAATAAAAAGATAGGTCGAAAATGAGAAAATTATGCTTCGAAAATAAGGAGATTAGTAGATATTAATAAAGTGATTCATTTAAATAATCAATCAAAGAAGAATTCCAGCTACAAAAAATAAACTCTATCTGCTTCGAAGTTTGTGATCTATAAATACAAGCCATTTGCTAGCATTTTTATAATTATCAGAGAGTCTGTTGTAGAATTTCTTACGTTTTATTCGATAAGAAGTCAGTTACATTTATGCATCACGAACTACACACATACACACCGAGTGGACTAGAGTGGAAGAGCCAGCCACTTACGGAGAAACACGTCTATATTACAGTCGAAGATGATATCACACCAACAAGAGACGAGGAGGCGAGTTCGAAGTCTAGATAATGGCAAAACGAAAAAAAAATGAAGTGTAATGTACAGACCACACTGAGCAAGATTCCAGTAGAAAAAAAAATAAGAGAAAGAGAGAACTCGTATTGTGAAGGCAAAGCGTGTAGCATCCAAAGTTTAATAATTTTGAATTAACATGACAGAGTCTTGTTTTTTTATTTGGATCGTTTTCATTGATTAACACTTGGCGCTGATAACCTTTCTTACGTTAATCAAAGTCCTCTTTCCATGACTATGGCAATAGACAAAATAGCGGAAAAAAGCGTGCTCTGAGAACATTCTTTCAGTATATAGCGTAACGTTGGTTTAAAGTTGAACTATTACGTACAATTGTATTTGCTTATTATTAACAAGATTTAACTTTTATTTTTGTTCGCAGCTAACTAATCCTTGTTTGTAATATTCAATTACATTGTTGACTGTGATTTTCATGAAGGTTGAGTAGTGTAAGTTGCACGATACTCTGAAGTTTCATTATATTTGATTCAATGACTATGAATTAGTTTTAAAGAAGATCAACGAGCAGAAAATATTGAATAGAAAATGAATGAGTATGCATAAATCAACAAAAAAAAAATATTTTTATTGTATTTCTTTTTGCTTTTCAGATACGCGAAAATCATGGTCTCATATAAATAACAATCAATTTTATGTTGTCAAAGCATTATTAATACACATTTAAACTGCAGTCAATATGCGTGTTACAATCTTTTCAGGAATGATGTTTATCTTTGTATCTTGGTTGTCGCTTGAAGTAACGTGCATTAGTTTACGTCAATGGTCTTTCATTGAACAACTACGATACAATGTTCGAGATTTCATCGATACAAACTTGGCGAATACTAATACTTTGCATGAACACGATTTGAAAAATGAATGGTTAAAACTTGATGATACGGTTCCTAAAGATGAAGAAACAGCAGGTCAAGATAAAGAAAAAGCTGAACAAGATGAGACAAAAGAAAAGAACCCATTAGAGGAGCAAATTCAAACTACATTGTTAAAATTGGCTATCGAGTGTGTATGTAAATGCGCTGATGAAGCAGCTTCTGACGCAATGTTCAAGTGTGTCAAACAATGTTTTGAATGGATCAATCCAGCACAATCACAATTCATGTCCAGACTTGTTTCAGAGTGACAAAAGCACAATTATCACTTTCTGTGCGCTCCGTTTTTCATTAATCAATCAAGATATATACATGCATTGCTAGTAATGTAAATAAAATGCCTGTCTTTCAATCTTGATTAACACATGACATATATTTTAATAAATAAAATCATAGCAACTGTGCTATTCCAATATTTTTAAACTTAGTTTGTACATATACAGTGGCAACCAAAATTATTCATACATCTGAAGAAAATTTTCGAATCGCTATATTTCCGCAAGGATTTAAGCCTTTTGAAGTGCGGTTTTCCTCAGAATGTAGAGTAGTATGTGTAGTATATTTGTATGAAGTTTCAGCTTGATCGAACGCAAAATAATTGTTTTAGGTAACAAAGAAGAAAAATCCTATGTTCCAATTAAGCTCAAAATTATTCATACAGTTCATCCAATGATGCATACAAATATGACGATTCTAATGAGTCAGCATTTATCAATATCGTTATTTTTTAGGACTAGAAACCGCTTTTTAACCGCAGAACGCGTAATACTTAGTGGGCTACATCGTATTCAGATGCTACCAAGATCAAATAAGTGAAATAAAAAATCACGACTTCCATATTTTTCATATTCAATTTATATGGACTGTATAAATAACTTTGAGCGTAACTGGAACATATGATTTTTCTTCTTTGTTATTTAAAACAATCATTTTACGATGGATCAAGCTGAAACTTTCTACAAGTATATTACACAGACTACTCTACATTCTGACAAAAACTGCAGCTCAAAAGCTTAGTCTTTCCGGAAATATAGTACTTCCAGAAATATTGAAATACTACTTATTTCGACTAATGTCATTCGGGTGCATGCAGTATTGAGACAAGTAGAGTGTGAGTGGATGTGATTGCTGATTTTAGGTCTCCATTCATGAGATGTCTTACTCACCCACACCCAACCGATTGCCGTATTTCTGGTGGATATTCGACATTGCCGAAATTCCATAGGACCCAAAGACATGTGAACGATATCTACTATGACGCGTTCGTCTTGTCTTCAATATAAAATTCATTTTTTTTTCAACGCATATCTATTATCGCATTTAAAATTCTTACTAAATGGTGTGCTTTGAAATATTTGGGTTAGTCTAAAAATTATCATCAGAAGATCTCATGTTTTTTTTCTTACGGCAAACAACATTTTAACATGTTTAACTCTAACAAAAGTACAATCGACCTAAAAAGCAAGGCGAGTATTATGACATAACCGATATATCACTTGCTTTCACTCAACGGTTCGTCATACTATTGACACAAGAGAACAGAAACAAAAAGAAACAATAGTTGGCCTTGATTTTGTGCCATCTTGCCTATTTCTGTAGCGTGTATTGCATTCTTGTCATTTCTTTCCTTTCTTTCTTTGTCTCTGTTCGCCTTCAATGCATCTCTTCCTAAGACAAAAAACCCCTCAGCAGTTTATTACTATATGTGAGAGAAGAGCCTGTTGTTTTTTTTTATAGTGCAAAGATATATAGGATGTCTTCGTCGTTTTTTGGAGGGCGAGTCTATTTTCATTTGGGAAGGAAAGAAAAAATTGGGACACTGAATCGAAGAGAACCAAAAATTTATAGCAAAAACGTTATTCTGATTTTGAGAAGAGATCAATAAATGTTCAAAATCGAATAATAGTAGCTAACCTCTGTTGTTACTTTATTGAAGCGAAGATTAGCATGCATTATGTGTCTGAAACGCATTATACGTATTGAAAATTATTTTAGATTCTCGATAAGACTTGTAAAAGCGAGCATGTAATGCTCAATGTCAATAATAATTATTAATTAGAGAAATAGATAATGTTCTTTTAAATTTGATTATGCTTGTGAGAAACTTTTTCTTATACACTCCTTTCCGCTCTTATTTTTAGTTTTGAGAATCTCACACAGAGTCTAGTGAAGAGATTAAGTATAAAAATAAATATTTGCGCTGGATAAGTGAAGTTTATCAATCCTTTCAGAGTTATTTACCTCGAAAGTGAAATATGATGCTCATCTTCGATAGAGAGGTATGCTCATGACTCATATACCTGGAATTAACAATCACAAATAGATGCGATGGACGATCGAATAGATGATGAGATTTCATTATATCACTTCCATTTGAGTTATTTAACTAGATCTATTTGAAAGAAAAAACATTATAACAATGACCTGCCCTACAGAGAAGCTTGCGACAATACCAGCTAAAGGCTGGGCTGTTTATGATTCGTTGGGACCATTCAAGTTGTTTGAATTTGAGCGACGTGTATTAAAAGAAGATGATGTTCTAATTCGTATTCATTTCTGTGGTATATGCCATACTGATATTCATGAAATAGAAAATGAATGGAACCAATCGATTTATCCCATGGTACCTGGTCACGAAATAACTGGTATTGTTGAACAAGTTGGTTCTAAAGTGAAGCGTTTTCAAGTTGGTGATTCAGTTGGTGTCGGATGTATGGTTGATTCGTGTCGCAACTGTGTACCATGTCTATATATAAAGTACTAGCGTTTATCTCGGTATTATGGTTTTCTTTTGTCTTATAGGTCAAATGAATCTCGAACAACATTGTACTGTTGGTCCAAGCTATACTTACAATTGTACTGAGATGGATCGCAAGACACCTACTTATGGAGGTTTGTTCGATGTTTCTGTACATTCACATAAAAACTCTGACTATAATAAACAATAATCTGAATGTCTGCAGTGCTTCTCATTTTTACAGGGTATTCGAATTTGATCATAGTAACGGAGCATTTTGTCTGCCAGATTCCAAAGAACTTACCTTTAGATCGGACTGCACCACTACTTTGTGCAGGTACTACAACTTATTCAGCATTGCGTCGATACAATGTCAATAAGGACACACAAGTTGGGTAGGCTTATAACATTGAGTAGATTTTTCAATATATATTTTAATTAATTTGATAGAATAATTGGTCTTGGTGGTCTTGGTCATATAGCAGTAAAATTGGCTGTCGCTATGGGAGCTCATGTTACTGTTCTTGCCTTGTCAGAATCGCAGCGAAATGATGCAATTCGACTTGGAGCCAAAGAATTCATTGTTTCTAATGATCAAGAAAAATTAAAAGAAGCTGAAGGGACACTCAATTTTATTATTGATACAGTACCGGTACCTCATAATGTTTCTGCTATGCTCGGCTTACTTGCATTTCAAGGCGTATTTTGCATGTATATTTTACTTTCTTCTTTCTATCTTTGAAATTAAATATTTGATGTAGGATTGGTATATCATCGAAACCATTTGAAATAGCTCCGTTAGACTTTATTATGAAACGTCTAACAATTTATGGAGCTCTTATTGGTGGAATGAAAGATACTCAAGAAATGTTAGAATTTTGTGGTCAACATCAAATAACTTGTGATATTGAAATGGTTGAAGCAACACCAAACATGATCAAATTGGCTTATGAACGAATACTCAAAGGTGACGTCAAATATCGTTTTGTTCTTGACATGAAAAACGCATTCAAATAATAGATACTCTCAGCTGGAAATAAAACATGTACTGCTTCCATTCACTTAGATTGTCTATTAGTCATAAGATGACATATTCTACCAATAAATTTGTAGTCGTATACAGTTAATTTGAGACTCTTGGAAGTGAATTGATTTTGATAACTATAAAATCACAATTTTCTTCATTAAAACATACCTATAACAAAATGATCCACACCTTCATTATATGATAGCAAATGAAATCTTAATGACGAACTTCTATTCATGCATACTTGTAGTGCTAAGAATGCTCTATATTTATTGATTGCATGATCATTATTGAATTGACGTGACTATATAAAAATTCATACAAATGTGATGGATTCATATGATGAGATGAGTCAAAAGACTTTGCTAATGATGATTTATATTCTGTTTACAATGGTTCAATTGTACCATATAATACGTTTTCACAACAGTCAAAACATTTCGATGAAAATTGCGAATATATCGAATCCGAATCATGCTTTATCTGATCTGTACCGGAAATGTCATCAAAAAATATATCGACTGAGTTCGTTACATAATTAACGATGATTTTTACTCTACGATTGAAAAAATAAAAGTAAAAACTAAGATATCGTATGCTTACTTTCGAGACAACAATTTTCATGTTCATCAATCATGGGAAATAAGTATAAGATAATAATTACTATCTTAATATTCTCAAAAACAACATTATCTGGAGCGCTACAGGTATTTAGAAGTATATAAATGCTATAATTTACCTACGACCCAATAGATTTCTTCCTTTTATATAGAAGAACTATAATTTATAAAATCAATTCCAACTCCTTTAAATTCTCGTAATAATGTACATAGATAATATAAACCAATCGATTTATGATATATGACTTTTTAAATCAATCATTAAAAAGTAAATACAGAATGCTAGATTGTATCAATGGAACTGTCGAAAAGAATGTCATTCTTTTTGAAGTATAATTCAAACACATTTTGCGATCAAATTGAAGAATTCTATTTCACATTTACCTTCATGCATAATTTGAAACTGAGTTGGACTGTTGCATTCTGATGAAATTTTAAACAAGATGATCTAAATCGGTCGTCGAATTATTCGACCTTTGTTATATGTTTTTTTTAACAACTAGAAAGTAATAGCTGTTGATAATCAGAAGGAAAATACACTATTTTTCGGTTGTTCCTTGTCCATTTTGTACACGAATGAAAGCAGTCTCTTCAATATGTCTTTCATAAGCCAAGAAACAAGAGAAAGTATATGCATTAATCAACTTCTTCTCGCTCTATTCAAATGACGTACACTATGTAAGGAGTGAACTTTATTGTATTCAGTAGATAGACAGTGCTTGAAAGACATTGATTTCGTTTATTTAGCAAGCGAATTTTCATTGTTACATAAAATAAAACTTGATGAAATTCGTTTTTTTTTAGAAAAAAGATTCAAAAAAAGCGCCTGAGCTAATTCAGATAACGAAATATTAGTTGAAACCGTTCAAAGAGAAGAGAAATTCGTTGTGATATAAAACAACAAAAAACATGAACGTCATATGCATTGAATTTTCACAACTAGTTCCTTTGACAGTTAACAATAAGAAACAGTGATATGTACGAATAGACGATACGATAAGAGTGGAAACAAAGGTACAATAATTGTCATCGATAAAACTGTTAGATTAATCGAATTGAAATGATATATCTAGTGAGTTTATTTATTGTAAAGCATCCCCACGAGTACCACATTACTAGTTAGCCACATATACTATTCAGTACTTCGATACTTTTGAATACTCGATGGATTTTTAAAGAGTTTGAAGATGAGATACTTCTGAATACTCAATTAATTATTTGTTGAAACCATTATTAATGTAGGGTACCAGGTACTGAACAAGTACTCGATCAAATGCCTTAGGAATTCCTTCAAGCAGTTATGCTCTGAGAGAACTTTCAGCACAATATTATCTGTTGACTGGTACTAGAGAACTATTCGAGTCTTCTATAAGAATGATCTCAGTAAATAAGTATTCTAAACTCATTCTAAACTCATATTTGTATCATTCTATTTCCTTTTTTGTATCACTTGTTTATTTCTTCATCCAGAAAAATCTAACTGAAGAAGATTTTCAGTCATCTAAAACTCTCGTTTTTTATTGTAGAATATAAATTAGTCGTTAGTCGAAAACATTTTTGTCTTTTTAATTGGATATCATTTTTAGAATATTTTATTCACATTCATTTAACATTGGATTTGAATTTTTTTTCTTTAATAATTATTATGAACTTTTTCTGAATTTCGTCAGGCAAACAACATTTAGTATCATAAAAAGAAAAGAAATATAATGATGAATTGTTTACATTTCGGAATTTTTTTAAAAGATATTCTAATATTGTTCACATGAAGTTTTCAATAAGGATATCAATCATTTGAAATACCTGAAAAAAAGGCATAACTACTTTTTAGAACTTATTCATGTTCAGAAGATTTGACGATATTTGTTTTTTTATTAACTCTCATTCAACCACATGAAATCCGTCCGAACACTAGTGAGACTGATTTTAGTGCTATAGGAAGAGAATATTTTATAAAATATTAGCGCTTGCAATATGCCTGTCGAATACTTACAAGTGAATCACTTCAACTGTAAACCGTTGGTTGAACTCATATTGAGACTACAGAAAGGTTTCGGTAAGACTAGAAAATGTTTAATAGGGTTTGTTCCTATGGATATTCGAAGCCAAGCTATAACTGCTTCAATGAATGTTTGATTCATTTTAGATATTTACTGATTAAATCAAATAACAAAATTTCTATCTGAAATTTTAACTATAGATTGATCTAGTGACGCTTAGAACCACCACCTGAAATTTTCAGTTGACAAAATGTTTCTTTGTCGAAACACTGATTTTTCAAATAATAGTTGTTTGGCACAGCTATGTCACAAAAGCCGAGTTAATTGGAAAATATAATGTCTCCACGAAGGAACATTGTTTTTAGCTGAAACTTGCTGATAATTCTAAGGATTTTTATACTTATCGATGGACGAAATTTCAGATCGAAATTCCATTATTTGATTTTTCAGTAAACATCTTCAATCAGTTAAAAATACAGTAAAACGGACAAACTCGGCGTGAAGAGCCAATGAGAACGAACTCATTATATGACTTATCTACAGTCACCGAGACCTTATTATGAGCTTGGCATGAGCTCATCCGGTAGATTAAAGTTGAGGTAGTTTTCTCATTACCAAATTCTGCGAAGATACATGCGTAATACAAACTTTGACGATGTTGCATTTCACTTACAAAGTTTCGACACGTTTTTTTACTCAAGTATTATTTGACATAGGAATTTAAACAGTTTTGAATGTATGTGACATGTCTCTCCTGTTTCGAATGAATTTTCATGAACAGCTTATCTAAGACACTAATTAGATTGATCGATGTCAAAAATGTCTTTTGACTTTATAATCTACTTTTGATGCACTCATTCATTTTGTTACTATAGTAATAGATTGCCATAAGAAATTCTGAGTGAAGACATTTGTCAAGAAAATGGTGATAAACGATAATCTTTTAGTTAATTGAAATATCTTAAATTAGCCTTCATTTGAATTTTGGATGTTTTTCAAATGATTTTCAGTGAAATTCTTTCAAATGCAATTTCATAAATGTTGAGTTCCATATATTAAACTTATCACTATTGTGACGAAACTAAGAATCAACATCAATGGAATAATATTATCCTTGATATGAAATCAGTTTTTTGTGAACATAGATAAGAAGTTTTATTATTACCGAGAATTATCTACTTCATCAAATCTTGTTTTTCTCGTTAGTTTCAAGAATAACACGTTGATACTTTTATAGAATTGTCGAGAAAAAAAAAACGATATACAAATTCTAAATATCAATGTTTAAACTACATTTTGTTTACCCTTAAGACACTAAATTCAAAGAATAGAAATTAAGACAATCTGATTACAGTTATTGAAGTTATAAATCAGATAAATATATGTTATAGTCAATCAACAATAAAGCAATTCGTCATTTTTTTTTATTTTAAAGAAAAAAAAAAAGGGAAAATAATTTAGTTTTTATTCAAGTTCATTACTAGAAATTGTTGGTGCGGCAACAGGTTCAATTTGACCATGATTAAAATGAAATTTTCGTTTCCATGAATTCCAATATTCTTTTACTAAAACATATTTTACTTGTCGACGGTATCGTGATGATGAAGCCAAAAAAATACAACAATTTCCCTACAAAAAAAATATTTATATTAAAACTTCTAATAAATTTCAAAAATTAAAATATTACTGCAAAATGAAGACTGAACATTGAACCTATAAATGCTTGAACTAATCTTTCAATCGCTGTCCGAAGTGGACTTGGTGGCTGAGTAATAGCATTAATTACATAAATACGATATATGACTACAGGTCCAAGGAAAATAATCAGAAACACAACACGTACAAGAACAAATTTTGTCAATTGACGATCAAGACGTCGTCGAATAATAGGTAATTGTCGTCGGACAATGCGACGAACATTACGATAGGCTAAAAGACTAATGGAACCAGAAATTAATATTGGTAAAAGACCACATAGCATTGGATAAAAAAAATATGAATAATATTGGACTAATGCTGGATTAGAAAGTACACAATCAACTGATGGTTTTGCAGTATAAAAAACTCCAAATCCAATAGAATGAACAAGTGAAAAGCATACAGATGCAAACACTAAACATCGAGCTAAATTCAATGTACTTAATTGTCTTAAATGAATCAAATGACTTGTTGAAAGGAATTGATCGATTGCAGCAAAACATATTGTAGAAAGTGAAATTAACAGATATGTCTGTCCCATCATTGTTCGAAATTTGCACCATGGTGTCGAATATTGAGATAAATCAGATCCATATATCAATGTTAAAAGTCGAAGAGTGAAATTATATATCACAGCATTGACATCAACAATAGATTCAACCATTAAATAAAATATACATTGATTATTTTGAAAAATTTTAAGTTTAGTAAAAATAAGAATATTTAATAAATTACCAACAAATCCCATAAGAAAAATGATTACAGTAGTATAAATAGTGTATTGTTGAGCAATAGTCAATAATAGTTGAATCGTTGACGATGATGCCATCGATTCTTCTACGAATATATTTTCTACTAACACTGATACGTTTCTTTATATTTATTAATGAAAAAAAAAAAAGAGATAAAACCATACCGAGAAGTTCCTTCATTAAACTTATATTTTATCCTGTGTATACTTTCATACAGATGCTAATAAAAGTCATTAATAATAGTATTTTCTATCAATCAAATTAAGATAATTATATCCGTTCAAGTATTCTGAAAATGCGCATGCAAATAAGAACAAATAATTATTCAACAAGATAGTTATAGAATAATGCATATGGGTGTGTCAAGAAAAAAACATTGTAAAAAAAAACTGATACAACAGCCATATTCAAATATTAAAAAAAAAAAAACTAGCAAATTTTTAATGAAGAATATACTTTGAAATTAACCAAAAGTAATTATACATTTTCACATCGAAAGTAAAACTTTTGTTGATTACACGTATATGAATATAATAATAATGTCATATTCTCTGTAATTGACAGTCTTCATTGATAGGAATCAAAATAATGACTGAAGACATGAGTACAGATTTAATTGAAGTTGTTCTACTTTCTTCTCTGAGAGATGCATTCAGTATAAACGAATGGTACGTTTTATCTCATTTGCTCGATTCTTCATATTATATTTCATAAAATTAAAACTATATTTATAGAAAATTATCTAAAAATTTAAATAAACTGAATGAATCTTATAAGATTGTATTGACAAAAATTTTATATTGTATGTGTTCTCTTGCTATTAAGACAATGATTTCCTATATCCTCGAATTCTCTGAAAAATTGTCAATTAATCTTGATATATTGAAATAAGAATCGTAAGCTGAAATATGAGAAATGAAAATTTTTTTTTCGATGTTTCTACTGGTTTTTATGATAGATGATTATCCTTCATTATTTCACTAATAGAAGTGATTTTACATAATTAAATAATAAGAACACAATCAAAAAAGAGTTCATACGTTCAAATACAATGCTTCGAATTGATTTTTCCTCTTAAGTTAGTCCATACATACACGTTCTTTATTAATAAATTATATATCTAAAGCAGACGAAAGAATAAAAATCGTAATGAGAAAGTAAAGTTCAAAGCAAGACAATAGCAGTTACCTTAAAGAAGAAAGAGAAGTTTCCTAACTGTATATTAGTCTATGATTAAAGGACTCATCTATAAAGCTGCACCTAAAAATTAAAAAAATTGAGAAGAAAACATTCCAGTTCAAACAAAGGACATCAACATAACATCTGATGCAAAAGTAACGAGTTCAATGTCAACTTCTGTCTCTTCCATTTTTTTTTGTTTAGAATCAAGAACTCGATTTCAAAATGGACATCAAATTTGATAGTCTCAAGTGTCATGTGCAATCAGTAAACATCATTCGACTTTAAGCGACTTACTGTTACAGAATTAGTGAATTTAAGAATTTTCTTTTTTTCAAAATAATCCTATTGAAATTCTTTTCTTTCACTTAACGTAACTCAAAACACTTAGTTTTCTCAATCCTATTTCCTGATAACCACTATCTAACGTTGTTCGATCGAATTGAAATTTTTATCATGGACACTTGCAAGCATCTTTCAGAAGAAAACGTCACTGTTTTCATTTTTGACCTGTCTATCCAGATTTAACGGGTTCTCAAAGTTAATATACTGATTTGGGCTCAGAACCTTTAGACATGTCTTTCATAGAAAAAAATAGACTTTATAAAATGCTCAAGAATAATTCTGAGATATCTTACAAGAAAATTTTCACCCATATCGGATAAATTTTAATGAGAGTCCTATGGAAAACCAGAGTTTTCACAAAAAAAAATTGTGAAAACTTTCTTGACAAATTTGTTTCTTCAAATGCTCATTTTCTTATTCCAAGTACTCTATCTATGGTAAAAATTTCAGCTTAATCATTGGAACCGTATTCGAGACCATGAAGTAGTGAAATAAAACGGAGGTACCCTTAATCGGTCGACAAACGAAGGAATATTTTGTTTTGAAACTTTTGGTCGATCTATTAATCTTAATGAAGCAATTGTAGTTAACATGAATTAGTACTCTCAACATAAAAATAAGCGAATTACGCTTGTTTTTAATCAACTGTTTACTAGCAAATAAGTTTGTTTTTTTTGGAGAATATTCACACAATATGTAATGTGTTTTAGTTCTAAATAAAAATGGCGCTGTTTGTTTTTCTCTCATTAAATATGGATATTCAATATGTTTACACAAAAAAACGAAATCAACTTGGACGACCAACAAATTTTAGTGATCGACCGGCAGAAATTCTTGCAGAAGTTATTCCAAATTTCAACTTATTACAAGAATTTATTTATCGTGATCCAGTTGAAATAGGTGTACAAAATTCAATTCAACTATCTGAACATGAAGTACGATAAACTTTTCTGAGTAAAATTAACCATATCCTATCTCAACTTTCATTTTTTTATTCATAGGTCAATACTATTCGTTATAATACTGAATCTAAAGGTATCAATCATACTGAAGGTGGATGGCCAAAAGATGTTAATATACAAGAACAAGATCAAATAAATCGTTTTAGAAAAAAACTAGAAAAAGATGAACTTTATCTTAATTCACTTTATCGACTTATTCATGTAAAATTTATTTTTTAAAAAGAAAAAACGACAATTTATTCACTTTTTTTTGAAAGGATCTTGAAATGGGTATAAAACAAAATAATGCTATTGATATTCATCAAGTTTATTTTCAAAATAAAATCGATGATTATGATGAACCATTTAATATTAAAACAATTAATTTATATTGTTACAATCCAAATATAAATCAAATGGCTAATCATATATCATGGCAACCAGATGGTCAACGAAAAATTGCTGTTTCTTATTGTAATTTTGATTTTAATCCTATTATAATGAATACAATAGATTCACTTGTTTGGGATATTGGTACAAATAATTTACAAGTTTTTTTTTTTTTCTTCTTTCATCAAAATTTTTTTATCCTTTTCTATAGAAAATCCAAATAAACCTGAACTTATTTTAAAACCAAATTCTTCATTGAGTACAGTTGAATTTAATCAAAAAGATACATATCAAATACTAGCTGGTTGTCTTAATGGACAAGTTTGTAAGATAATCTTTAAAAATTATTTTGTTTAATTTTATTTCATATTAAAAGGTATATTTGATTTACGTAAAGGCAATACTCCAGTTGAACAATCCTTAATTGAATTCAGTCATAGAGAAACTATTCGAAATGCATTATGGCTTCAATCAAAAACGGGTACTGAATTTTTTTCTGCTGCTGCTGATGGAAAAATCTATTGGTGGGATACAAAAAAAATGAATCAACCAGTTGATAAACTTGTATTTGATTTGGAAAAAAAGGAACGAACACAATATGCATCAGCCATAACAAAACTTGAATATGATTCAAGTATTGTAAGAAATATAATGATATTGTTATCTTGATATTTCTTTTGATTTTGTTCGATAGCCAACAAAATTTATGGTAGGAACAGAAGCAGGTCGTATTGTTCTTTGTACACGTAAAGCAAAAAATGATGCAGAACGAATTAATGTTATTTATCCTGGTCATTCAGGACCGATTTATTCTATTCAACGACATCCATTTTTTCATAAAACATTTTTATCAGTTGGTGATTGGTCTTTACGTATATGGTCCGAAGAAATACGAGATGATTATATTTTTTCTACGAAGTGAGTTATTTAATTTATTAAAAAAAACAAAAACAACTAAAAGAAATTCATTAGACCAAGTAGATATTATTTAACTGATGCACAATGGTGTCCAGGAAGACCTGGTGTTTTCATTTCATCAACAAATGAAGGTATACAAATTAAATATCGAGGAAAAACTATGCTAAAATCTTCACATTGTTTCAAAAGAGAAACAACAAGTTTTTATGATCCTTGAAAACTGATATTTTTCTTGATAAGAATTTAAATTCAAAATGATTGAATTTCGAAGCTCATATTTCATATATCTACTTTCATGACTGAAACGATAATGTATTGTTTGATATTACATATAGGATCCATTCATGTTTGGGATTTACTATTTAAACAAGATCAACCAGCATTAACTGTTAAAGTAAACTTTCATATAAATGAATTTCGATATTTTTTTTTTTGTTTTTTCATAAAATTTATATAGTTAAGTGAAGAAGGTATTGCTTGTTTAAATTTTCAAGAACAAGGTCGTTATTTAGCATGTGGTACAAAAAATGGAAATGTTACATTAATGGAATTATCTGATAGTCTTTGTATTCTTGATCGAAATGAAAAACAACTTGTTGCTAAAGTAAATATTACTTACTAAGTCATTGATTTCAAATTTTATACGATATAGAGACCCATGTCCTTTGAATCGGCTAAAAATTGCCGATTATTCCCGATTATTTCAGCGATTTTTACGATAAATCGTGATTTTATGCAAGATTTAACCGTCTGTTTACTGATATTTTCTACTATTTCATTGGTTCTTTTGGAGACACATATTTGGATTTTTTCTTGAATTTAATTCAATTTTTTTTGTTCTCAAGATCCAAGCCGATCAGATCATGCGATCTGTCCGATCTCGAGCTGGTCCGATTCTTATCAGACCGCTTCAGTGTAGTCCTCTCCAGATCATGGATCGGGATTGGCATTTCCTTGATTAAAAATAACCAAGAAATAATTTATCAGAAAAGTATATTTCGAAAACTTATTTGTTATGCATTGAACGGCGTTGTTTATATACCCGTGTGTGTTCATAACAAAATGGTGAATGAATAATTGTCATGATTTATCAATGATTTTTGAAAATCAGCTCTTCTTCCATAATCGCGATAAAATCTGATATAATCGTCGATCTTTTAAAGAAATACGATAAATCACGATTTTACGCCAATTTTTTAGAAAATCGTGGTGATTCTCACGATATGGGGAGTCTCAAAACAGCTATTGCATCTAGTCAGCAACTTGATTTTTTTTTATATGTTACAAAGCGTTCAAAGTATTAACGAATGAGTTTTCGTCATTAGAAACTTATTTTAATATTAGATAACAAAAATTTACCAATCATTGTATACACAGTTTTTTCATTATGAAATACAAGTTTCAGAGAATGTTACAGGAAATGTATTCTACAGAACAACCAGATTACTTAATTGATCGTGAATCAATGAAGTTCTGGTGTAGAAGGAAAACTCATCATAGTTTTTCATTATGATCCCAAGTAGATAGAAGAGTTAATATTGTTCATTTTATTTCTTCTGAAAAAACTGTGATAAGATTTATTAGCATGATTATATTGTAAATAATGAATATATAACGTTTAACATTGTTCTTCATACAAAAAAAGATAACGTTTTTTCCTTGTCAAAAATGTAATGAAAAGGACGAATACAGATAAGGATCCTGTGTTTTGCAAATCGAGAGATAATGTCTGCCTTAGTCATTTGTGAAATCAGAGTTATATCTTACTAAAAATCTAATCTCAATACGCTGAAACTCTCATAAGTTATAAGAAAACTAATATTATCTTTTGAATATATAATTAATCTTGAATCGCATTTGTAGATGTTTGATCGAGAAACACGACGAACTCATTTACTTGAAGCACGATCACGTTTTAAAAATGATAAACAAATTCGAACTATAAATTTATATACAGAAGAAGAATTAAATGAAGAAATAGCACAATCAACTGAACAATTTTGGTTAATAATAAATAAAGAAAAAAAGAAACTTCAAGATTATTTAAAACAATTTGAACAAGAATTAAATTTAAAAGAAAATTAATTTTTTATTTTCTTGATATTTTAAATAAACCCTTAATAAAATATGTTTGAAATAAAAAACAACTACATATTATTAATATATGAATTAATGCCCATTGATTAATCCAAAATAAATTTGTTTCAATTAAAAAAAAATCTTTTTGATTAATCATTTCAAGTTCAATTTGATGTTCACGTGAAATAATTATATTATAAGTTATTGAATCTAAAGATTTCTAAAAGAAACAAAATACAAATATTTCAAAACTTAAATAAACTAAAATTTACATGAACATTTATTGATGAATTATCAAAATTTTGACTTTCTTCAATTTTAGCTAAAGCTTTATCAACATGATAAACATGAAAATAGACAGATATATATTTAGCATAAGTATCCGATGTTCCATGATCCATACAAATATCAACTAATGCTAAAAGAAAAATCATTAATCATATGAAATTAAAAAGTTATAAGATAATATTCAAACATCTTTGACTCGATCTTTTTTCCATAATTAGAGGTTGAAAAGAATTTATTCGCTTAAGCTTTTGTTTACCTTGATAGAAGATTTTTAAGTGATTTTCCCTATAGAATAATTTCATAAATTCTGAATTTCGACAAAAAAATTAATTTATATATAGACATAAAATAATCTATAACTGGATGCATCTATATAAGATTTTACTATTCGTGTCAACAGTTCAAATGACATAAGATCGAATGACGTTTTTTTTCCTGTAAGAATAGTAATGCAAATGTATGAATATAATATTCGATTTATCGAAATCGATCCATAAGATTTTTTTCATTTACGAAAAGAAAAATACTATGCTTGACTGATTCATTCTGCACCAGAGCCCGAAAACGAACCGAACTCGAACCGAACTAAGACGGTTCGGTTCGGTTCGAGTCGAACGGAACCGATCTCGATCCGGTTTTTTAAAATTTAGTCGAACCGAACCGAAGCCGAACCGCTCTTTCAAAAACGTAGTCGAACTGAACCGAACCCGAACCGCCCTTTTTAAAACAGAATCGAAGCGAACCGAACTCGAACCACTTCTTAAAAAGCGACCTTAAGCTGAACTGCGCCTAACTAATTTTTGAAAAGCGAATAAATATGGACAAGTACATAAGAAAAATGATTAGCTGAGCTATAATCCTTTTTGTAAGATTGTGATGCTATATGGGATTATCAAACGATCTTTAATCGAACATTTTACATCAGGAATTGTGGACGATCAATTTATATTTACAAAAATTTATCAAGCCAAGAAATCAATTGTAAAGGACTTCATTTTATTTTGAATTTAAATCGAATTTATATAAAATTCAAAGAAATTCAATAAACTCAAAATAATTTAGATTACATCTAAATAAATTTGAAGTGTTTTAAGCTCCATTTTAATTAATTTAAGTTTCACTTTGTATAGTTATCTATAGAAATCAAAAGAAACCTTTTATCTCTCAGGCCTACCAGCAATGGTATCTGTACAAGTATTTTATTATCGTTAGAAAATAATAGAAACGAAGCACGGCCGTTTTCTTACGAGATCTTCTATAGTGATGATCGGATGTTAACGTATAATAGCAGTTTCTCTCTTTATTTCTGATCTATTTTTCTTGAAGTCATGTACTTTGACGATTGGGCTGTTGTATTTTAATTCACAAAAAATTATTATTTCCAGAAATTAATTCTCAAAAATTTAAATCTAAAATAATTTTAAATTTATTCCACATAACAATTTAAATTTATTTTAAATTAAAATTTTGGCATCAGAAAAATTTTTATTTAATTAAAATTTATATTGGCAACAGTTTTAGTTTAAAATAAACTTACAGGAAAATGCCACGCCTATCAGGAACCGAACCGAACTATAATGGTTCGGTTCGGTTCGAGTCGATCCGAACCGATCTCGAACCGGTTTCTTTTTAATTTAGCCGAACCGAACCGAACTCGAACTGGTTTTTTTTAAACATAGTCGAACCGAACCGAACTCGAACCCACTTTTTTAAGACATATTCGAGCCGAACCGAACCCGAACCAATTTTTTAAAAAATTAGTCGAACTGAACCGAACTCGAACCCGTAAAAGTCGGTTCGATTCGGGCTCTGTTCTGCACAGTGTTTTGTTCTTCGTTGGACATAGAATGTGTTCATGCACCTAAATTCATTTTGAACGATTTGTTCATGGGTAAAATCTGACTGTCAGTTGCATCTAACAAGTTTGAAATATCTCAAATACGTTTACCACTTTTAATAAAAAAAATTTTCGTTGGTCACTTTCGATAAATCGAACATTATATCCATATATTTGTATGAGAATTCTTACAAAAGATTATTTCATTTAATGTTATGTCATTTGAAACTTCGAATACGAGTAGTAAAAGCTCATTTAGATACATTCAAGTAGTGATTATTCCTTATCTGAATATAAATTAAATTTTGAACGCAGTTCAGAACTTATACAATATCCTATATGGTACTCAAAGTTTCCAACAGAACTATATTTACTAGGATGTGGTTAAAATTATAGATCAAAACTCAACAGATATGGTTTTGTTTTAAGCCTTTTTTTTAAGTACCACATCAAAATCTATCTAAGGTCAAAACATTTTAAAAATCTGACTATATTCCTTCGTTAGTCTTACTTGTTTCATTTGTTGTAAGTTCAAGATGACCATGCTGAGGTGTTTTTGATAACATAGTTATACTTCTAGTATACGTATTTCGAAAATAAGCAATAATACTATCTTCAGGTGTATTAGCATTTAAAATTTCATACATAAAATATAACCTTGATCCTTTTTCTAATAATTCATGATAACATTCTTCAATACCAGGATGAAGCCAAAATTTAAAACCCATTTCTATATAAGAGAAATTCTTTAATCAATTTTATTTCTATTCAATAATCATACCTTTGACATATTCATAGTCACCAATGACTGTCGAAATTAGAACACAACTCAATAAATGCACCCAAAAATATGTTACCATCCGCATTGATTTTCTTTTGGCAATTTTAACTTAATAAAGAAAAAAAGCAATGCATCAAAAAAATAAATCTCTATGTCGATGTGTTTGCATCATGTATCGAAAAAAAATGGATGGGAAAGATTAGAACAATTAAGAATATATTTATCTAAGGATTCTATGATATAGATGCCGTTTATAGTACGAATAAAATAAAAAGGCTGAGATATACTCAATTGAAAATACACAGAAATATCAACACTTGTCAAATTTCGTTTCTTATTGTTTGAATGAAAAAAATTTGTCGATACACGTATCTTAGATAGCAATTATCGTAGAATTTATTGAAGCTATCAATGAGTATTTGTATAAAATAGAAGATATCTATTGAAAAATAATAAAGAATCGATTATGAAGACTAATATATAAATATTAAAATAAAATAATGAAAGCTTCGTGCAACACACACAATTGACAAACAATCACAAACATTCGCGTATTTCAATGTCAGAATAAGCACAGAAATTATATGAAGCTGTGAAATATATTAAACTCTATGAATGAAATCATGTATTGAATATAGATTTCAATAGTACATTGACAATAAATTATCACTATAATTGCTACTAGAAAGATATCTTTACTAAATGAACAGCCTCATAATATATGATTTTTTGTTTTATGCAATTCATCAGTATTGCTGTGTATCTATGTGTTACATGTTTTCATTTTTGAAGAAATTTAAATTGAATGTTACTAATATTTTTTGGTATTTAAATGATGTCTTTTCATACATGGTCATTACGTTTTTTTCTAGCTTCGAATGTCTTTATATTTCGTAGCAACACGAGTTTCTTTCAGAGTCGAGTGTTTTCAAACATTGAAATACTTTTCGATTGATGAAAGAAAGAATAACTAATCGAGTTAAAGTTATACATTAGAGATCAGCAAAATATTACATAGATTCCTATTCAAGTTATGATAAAACTGAATGGTATAATTCATAGAATAACTGCTTTTCCAGTGACAATTCATTAGTTTGAATCATACAAATGGTTCGTAAGTCTTGGCAATCAAAAATTGAAGATGTAGCTACTTGAACGAATATCCACCATTTGAGTTCATCTTGAATTTTCAAGAAGATCTCGATAAAACTAGAAAAATTCTCAAAGGGGGTTCATGTGCATAGATCTTTGGAGCCAGTTTTCGATCCAACTTTGGATATTTACTGAAAAACCAAATGACAATATTTCGATTTAAAATTTCGCTCATAAACAGATCAAATGACTAGTAAAATATCTTCAAAATTTTAGCCGAAAACAAAACATATTCCTTTGTCGTGAAAATCGAGTCTACTGAGAAATTCAATATCTCAACAAAGGAACATCGTTTTCGGCTGAACTTCTTAGATGTTCTACTAGTTACTCGACCTGTTTATGGATAGAATTTCGAATTGAAATACCGTTATTTATGTCAAAAGAGACATTGAATAATCGTTTTTATCAATTAGGTGACTGTTTTTTTTCTCTTTTATTATAAAAAAAAAAGCATCATTGATTCTCATACGAGAAAAAAAATGACCATCTAATAAATCAAGAATCACATAAGAAGATGTCTTATTTGGTATGAAATACAATGATATTGAATAAAAAAAAAATGGTTACTTATGATTGCATCATTTTATTTATTTTTTCTTTTTTGCATTGCTATTCTTCATTCTCATTAGCATACATTCAAGTTTTTACAGTCACTAATTACGGTAAAACCATACTAGGACATGAACGTTGACATAATAAGAGAAAAACATGACTTTGTCGATTATTAACATTAATAAACAAATATCTGATGATAAAAATGTCATTATTAAATAAAATGTTTGAAACTATTGTATTTGTATTAACTTCAAAGAAAAAGCACTCTTTGCTAAGAAGCTTAACCCAAGTTTTTTTTTATTGTGTTCTACTTATCTGAAATAATGTAGGTTAATTAACATCTTTTCTATCCATAAACCGACTCAACATTTTTTTATACGCTATGAATTCATATCTTTTTCTATGCAAGATTTTCAATTTAACTGTATCTTTTATGTTCAAAAATATATCTTAAACATAATAGATACTAAAATATTACTTAAATATCCTTTTTTGTATTGATATAGTATCGACACAGAAGTGCCGATATATTGATGATATATATATAATCTCTTGATTGTTGTTAATTAAATTTGCTTTTGCGTTTTTCCTTTCAACATCATAAATCGAAATCTAACTGCGTCATTTTCTTTTAATTATCTATTTTCATTTCAAATATCTCAAACATATGAAATATTTTAACGTTTTCTACGCGATCTTTTCAATAATCAGTTTTATGTTGCTAATTAATAAGTGAATTTTTTTTTGAAAGTTTTGTCATGTATTAAGAATTATTGTCAGAGAATTTCTCTTTGTAAATATGAGTTAATCATCTTTGTTTATTATGAACGTATATTTAATTTTTTATGAAAATAAAAAATTCTATTAGAATATAAAAGAATACTATTTCAAATTCCGATGGTAATTCCAGTTTTTATTTCATTTTTGATATAACAACATATCTCTTTGAACGTCAGTTCGTCACTAATAAATATCTTTATTTTAGTTCGATTAGTTTATTTTTAGGATATCATGAAGACATAACAATGAAATATTCATTGTACTCAATTTGTACAAACAATAAATCGTGATTAGAAGAAAATCGCAATAGAGTAAAATAGAAAATTATAAAAGTAATGTACAAATATATTAATGGTAATATAATGAAATGTTCTGTTGCTTATTTTAGTTTGAATTTCATCTCTATACTTCTCATGTTTTCTTGATTAATATCTGATGTAACGGTGTATTCTTCAACCCTATCATCGTAAGCCGTTATTTTTTTTTCTCAGTTTTGCTCTATAAAGTTCTTAGTAAAATAATCTAGCATATAGAATCGACGTAAAAACATAGAAAAGTCAAATAAGAAGAAAGAATTAAATCTACATTTATTGAATCAAAACAAAATGTCCACATTAGTTGCTATTCAACTTCTTGCTATTGCACAAAATTTTACCTTTTATGCTACAATCATTATTTTCATTGCTGGTATGATTGGTAATATTTTGAACATTTGTATATTTACTAAAATGAAAACTTTTCAAGGCAATCGTTGTGCTTTTTATTTAATTGTTGAATCTATTGTTAGTCTTTGTTTTTTAATACAAATTTTTATTCTTCAAATGTATCAAATAACATACGGAATTGATCCAGGAAATATATCGATTTTCTATTGTAAAATAAGAACAACATTGGGTCAATCATCTCGACTTCTTATTGATTATATAGTATGTTTTGAAGCATTTGATCAATATCTTACAACTCATCATAGATTTTTTCTTCGAAAATTAAGCACATTAAAACTTGCACAATATTTAATTATTGTAGCAAGTATTTTATGTATTTCACAAACTATACCTTATATTATTTTCTATGATATTGTTTCATCATTTGGTTGTATAATAACTAACAATGGTTTGAAATATTATTATTCTTTTGTTTATTATATTTTTTTGCATGGATTTTTTCCTATTTTAATTTCATCTTTATTCAGTTTATTAGCCTATCGTAATGTTCGTCGTCTAGTTCGACGACAAATTTCAATTCTACGTCGTAAACTTGATCATCAATTGACAGCAATGATTTTTGTACGTGTCATCTTCTTTATTATTCTTTTATTGCCATATACAATGTATCGAATATATATACTTAATGTCAATATACCTTCAATAGATCGTCTTCCTTATGCAATTGTTCAATTAATTTCAGCAATTACTGTATCATTAATGTTTGGAAATCATTCGGTAAGATTTTTGTTTAAAAAATTTTATTTAAACTTATGGAATAATAATTTGTATAGATAAATTTTTATGTATTTTTTATTACATCGTCACGATTCCGTCGTCAAGTTAAATATTTTTTTATGAAAATATGTTTTCAATCGTTCAAACGTTGGTTTAATTCAAATATGAATAGAATTCATCCGTTAAATATACCTTCAACTCAATCCAGTGCAACATTAGAATTATAAATATCTATTTCAAATCAACAGTCATCCATTAATGATACATATCGTTATGTCATTCTTTGTTTATGTTACTTAAAGTTTTCATTTAGATCTAAGACTAAAACATATACAAGCATTCAAAAATAACTGATACACAAACCGATAGTACGGATGAACTGAAGATTCACATCCATACTTTCAAATCCCGATGGAACAAATAATAATTTCAAGTTATGAATGTTTTAAAATAGAATGGAGTTATGTTTGTGAGTGTTGATAATGAGTTCAATCTAGCTGAATTGCGTGCTATTTGCTCATCATCAGGACTAGTGAATTATTCTACCATATTGATTGATTGTGTTTTTAAACAAAAATCAAGTCGATTGACATTCAAATCCATACGAAACTGTTTTACTCCGGTATAAATTGCAATCGAAAGAATCGAATTGACTTTATCGATTATGAAGTAAGGATAAATGATTTTTATCCATGGATTAGAATGCTGTTTAAGTTTTATTTTCAGTGCTTGCCAACGAAAATAAACGTAGTTAAAATGATGAAGAAACATTGATTATTCAAAACTAGAGGCCAATGTGAATTGATCTACATCGATATTGACAAAAAAAACACATTTGAACTGAAATTCAATGATAGTGTCAATTAGTTTTGTACAACATCAAACTTTTCAATACTGGAACTACGCATCGTCGTACCGATCGGTTCTGGCTTGTTTCTTTTTTTGAACAATTACTGACGGAAGACTTTTTGTTTTGCTAAACTATGTTTATTTGTGAATAAAATTTGTTCACTTTCAGGAAAGTTTTCATGATGAACACCCTTCTATTATTTTGATGTATAAAAACTATTTAGATGCTTTAGAAAATAAGTTTAGAATGATGGAAAAGAAAAAACCTTTATTCTATTTGATGAAATGATTGTTGACTGGGAACTTGAAACTTTGTCTTCTTCTACTTCTCAAATATTACAATATTGTATTAACATTTGATAATAAAACTAGTAAGATTTTCAACGTTAATCTGATCTAATTTATTGAGTATTGAATTATTCTTGTAAAGAAGTCTATGTACACTTGTTGATAAAACAGTAACATATGAAGGAGAATTTTTCAAATGATTTCTTTCTCCTTTCGTCTCTGAACAAGCCAATCTTTTGTCTAAAAGATCAGTACTGCACTAGTACAAATGATTACAAACTTTAAAGTATAGAATTTGATACTTAATGTGATTGTTCGTCGACTTATTATTTTTACGAAAATCTGTAGTTTTAATTTTTCTTCTTGAGAAAAATAAAATGATATTGATGTTAAACAAAGTCGACTTTGAAATTAAAAATGTTCAAAGTTTGAATTTTTCACTGTTTCCCAATTCAAACTTCTTTGATTGCATAAGGTCAAAGTCTCGAACAAACTTCATTGAACATAGTTAGTCTTTTTCATTGTTATGAAGATCCTGTTTAGTTGTAGAAATTGACAAAATTTTACTTTAATGCATAAAAAATATCTTTTGAAAAGAGTCGATCTATACTACTCTTTTATAGAACGTTTTTTTCTTCTTTGCTTACTGAACTTACTCGTTTATTCTTCAGCGTCAAACAAAAGACTTACAAGAATAATGTATTTGTCAGACTATGTAAACGATATTCCTTCACTAAACCAAAAGAAATCAATTCCTGCTAATATAAGTTCACAAAAAAAATTTGAGCAATTTTTGATCTTTGTTTGATGAATATATTCCGAGAATATTATGATATCGAGCTGAAAACTTCTTCATAATCTGTTTGCCACGGGTCTAACATATTCTGAATGTTTCTACACCAAATTGTTTTTTGATGAAGAGGGAAAGTTAAACAAGCAAAAAAAAATCTAATAGACATATGAGACGAAGCTGCAATGTCTGAGTAGACTTGTAGACTGTAGAGATAAAAACTTGAGTTGGCTCTATTATACGTAAAAATTTTTTATTACAGTGAAATCAGTGCACATTTTATCTTTAAATAGACAACAAATTAGCAAAATTATGTTTTCTAAATACAGTAAATTGTTATTCCTATATTTGACATCTATATATATAATGTTCAGTGTCTGTGCCGGGTCAAGAGTCAAAGGTCAAATAAGGCTACAAGGGCTACTATATTAGGGTACCAATAGGTCCTCAAGGGCCGTTATATGAGGGTACCCATAGGTCGCCAAGGACTGTTATATGAGGGTACCCGTAGGTCCTCAAGGGCTGTTGTATGGGGGCACCCATAGGTCCTTAAGAACTATTATATGTGGATTCCCATAAGTCCTTAAGAGCTATTATATGGGGAAATCCATAGGTACTCAAGAGCTATTATATGGGGATACCCATAGGTCCTGAAGGGAGCATCGCAAGAAGATGGTAGAGCAATATGAGGATAATGCTACAAGAGTTGCCAGGGATATAGGGCTATAAGGCCGACGGCTAATGGACTATAAAAATATGTACAATAAAATAGTATTAGGCCGTACGCTACCTATCCGTATGCATAACATCGAGTGTCTCTATGTCCGTTACCGGATGAAAAGTTAAACGTCCGATATCATATGTTAGAGGAAAAAAACAGCTATGCAGTATGCACGGGCTCTCGCTAGTTATTCATAATAAAAACTATCGCTGAACAATCCTTCAGTTTTAATGAATCGAATAAAAACAGATTTACGTTGTACAATGACTCAACAATTTATTAATTTTGTTTTTATTTCTCATATTCAAAAAGAAAAAATAGATTTTCTTGAGTTGAATATCATATGTCTGACTCTATTTCAAAAATAAAAATATGAAAAAAAAAACCTTATTCAGTATGAATAGTTTTATTTCTTCTTAGCCTACTTTTTAATTAGCATTTTCTCTGTTATTTCTTTGAGCTTCAGATTTCATTCGAAACAATAAAGCATTAGATCGCTATTAAACTTATACGAAATTGAAACTTATCAAGACAATATATTTCTATCTTGCTCTCTGGACTAATTTACCTTAACTATTGAATCTATCCTACACTGAAAACATTCTCTTGCCTATGCTAACAGAGTATTATAAACAATCGAAATAAGTTTTCATTTAGAAATTTTTACTTTTAAAATCTATTGAACAACTTCAGAAACAAATGTATAGTGAGTAAATTTGTTTGTGTTATATAGATTTTGGTTGTATTTATTACATTTTTGACTAGAAATATTGACTAAAATTTACAATTATGTTTAGCATTCACTATAATATTTCTTTCTAAAACGGAGGATCACATTGACTAGAATATTGGATAAAAAAATCGACCAATCAAAATAGAGTTGATTGATCACTTGTTTATTGATACGATTGATTTAATTTTAATATACATTTACTTACTTATTTATTAAGTATTCTTGTTCGTTTTTAAACCGGTAAAATAAAATTAACATGGATCGTCAATCAACAACATTTATATTAATGAAAATAATTCGAGATTTAAATTTCAATACAAATATTGAGGTGTCATTTTTATTTTGTCATTTCCTTATCTTTGACATATTCTTTCTTAAAATCTAGGCTCGTGAACAACTACTACGTTTTGTTCAAGATCGTTTTCAACGTTCAAATACCGCTATTGAACGTTGTATAAATTCTTCTACAACAGATTTAGGAGAATTAATAACAAATTTTTCTGATATTTATAATTGTATACAACAGTCAAAAAATCGTATAGAAAATGTTCGTAAATCTTTACGTGAATGTAAAAATTTATTATTATTAAAACGACAAGATATTCGTAAATTATGGTTATTAACATTAGAACAAAATACATTAGATCGAATGTATTTAAATGTATATGAATTAAAACATGTTCCATCACGTTTACAATTTTATTTAAATAAACGTTTATATATTCATGCATCATTACTTTTATTAAAAGCAAAAGAATATCAAGAATTACGTTTAATTAATGCATTATCTAATATTGATTTACAAATAAAAGATGAACGTTTAACATTAGAAGATCAATTACGTTTTGAATTAATTTATCAATTATTTGATAAACCATCTCGTGATGTTCTTGGAAATAAAAATTTATCAACAACAATAAATAAACATGATCAAAGTTCTGTATCACGTTTAAGAGAAAATCGTTTATTAAGAAAACAACTTGATCAAGAATTTGAAGAAGGAAAATTATCATTTGAATCTCATTCATTAGCCATCATACCAGATCAATATATGTTAGTCGATATACGTAATCAACCATCAAATATATATTTAGATGTTTTATTACAATCCTTATCAGTTTTATCAAATTTAAATGAAACACTTGATTTCGTACAAAAACAATTTCCTGAACAATTATATCGTATTATTTTACATACAACACAACATATTATTGATAATAATTTAATTGTATCAAATAATTTAAATCAAAATTTAATTCTTAATAATGCTGATTGTTTAAGAGATTTATTAGAAACAACTTATGAACAATTTAAAGTTGTTGTCAAAAATACGGAATATTTAATAAATATATTAAAATTATTACAAGAACATCAAGCACCTATGCAAATTCAACAACAAGTATATCTTGCAAGTCTAAAACAAACCGGTTTGTTTTTAGATTTAATTTAAAAAATTTTTTAGTTCAAAAAGAAAGAATGAAACAAATATTTCATTTAAAAGTTAGAAAAAGACATCTACTTTATCTTGAACTTAGAAAAAAAAATGAATTTCTTTTTTATGCTATGATTGTATTAGTCGAAATGTAATCAATTTCAATTGTTTTTGATTTTTAAAGAGATCTACTGATGATTGAAAACTACAATATTGACAATATGAAATATTACGTTAAGAGTTCCACATATTTCGAGATTCATACAGAATGGCTCATGATTAACTTTCCTTTCTCTGTAGGCTATCAAGCAACTAGATTAAATTAATATTCTATACTGCTTTTCCCTCTATTGTTTAATTTAATTTCCTTACTTTTCTTAGTTATGATGTCTTTAAGATAAAAAAATAAAAGTATAGTTGAATGAGAGATCAAGAATGCTTCCTGGAACATCCTCTCTAAACATCTACTTTAATTTTATATTGAAAGTTAAGCAGTATATCTGATAATAATAATGTAATCAGAATCATAGGCGGGGCAGGATTTTTTGAATATGTTAGATCTCGGTTTCAGAGCATGGGATCCAGATGAAATTGATGGAGGATGATATTGAGCCTAAATGATGAGTTTTTTTCAAAAAATTTTTGCGATCGAAGTTTGCGAAAAAATTTTTAAAAATCTTATTGCTACCCCTAAAAATTTTTTTGTTTTTTTGTAGTATTCCAGTTTTTTAAATTCAGTTGTAATCTACGTCGAATTTTATCGACAGATTTCAAATTTCACCTAAAAATATGCATCCGTTCAGGAGTTATAACATTTTGAATTTTTGTAAAAATTGTTGAGGTATCTGTTAAAAATTCAAAATGTCATAACTCCTGAACAGATGCATATTTTTAGGTGAAATTTGAAATCTGTCGATAAAATTCGACGTAGATTACAACTGAATTTAAAAAACTGGAATACTACAAAAAAACAAAAAAATTTTTAGGGGTAGCAATAAGATTTTTAAAAATTTTTTCGCAAACTTCGATCGCAAAAATTTTTTGAAAAAAACTCATCATTTAGGCTCAATATCATCCTCCATCAATTTCATCTGGATCCCATGCTCTGAAACTGAGATTCAGCGTATCCAAAAACGCTGCGCCGCCTATGATCAGAATAGATGTGGGCACGATGGTCTCACTACCGAAACCAGGAACAATTTTTTATTGAAATTGTTATCTTTTATGGTCGTGTAAGTCTTATGTCAAACTTTATCTTGTCACGATTCATGTGTTCTAAAATTTGTTGCGAAAATCATCGAGTAACGATCATTTCAAATGTTTTCTATTATTATTATTTTGATAATAAAATAAATTTTTTTTTTTTTTGTAAACACATGCACGTGCAGAATAGATGAAGTATTAGTGAATTAAAGACAAATTAATGAATCTGTAAGATAAAACACATTAAATGTCAAGTGAATTGAGCAAGATATCTCAAGCACATTGATTCTGCTAGAAAATGATATTGTATTTTTGCTAGTATATTTATTGTTCAGCGTGAAATTACAATCGAAATTCTTTTCTAAGTAAAACCAAAAACGATTGATCTCTCTTGGATGATTTTCGAGTGTATTTTGAAATTTTCAATGATTATTGAATAAATCTATTGATGTATTTAGATCCAAAATTAGAAGACCATAAATCAATTCCAAGTGAAATAAAATTTGAAATTCCTTATATATTTTCTATTGAATTTGTTTGGGAAACTATTCAACAAGTACTTAGTGATGTTTTAAGTGAATATATTGATTTTGATAATGTACTTGAACCATTATCATCTGATTCTTCATCAACATTACATTCAACTGATTATACAGATCGTCCATCATTAATTGATTTTTCACATTATTTAACAAAAAAAGCTCCAGCACGTTCACAGCATATTCCACGACTTTTTGAATTTTCTCAATCTGCTCAATTTAATTCCATGACATTATATTTACAAGAACAAAATTGTTTTGCTATGAAACAAGAAACATCAACAACAAAACAACGTACTACTACATATAAACAATATGTATGTAAACCAAATTATCGAAATATTACAGCTGTACATGATATTCTTCAAAGAATTATTGAAGATATTGATACGAATTATACATTACATCCAACTAAACGTATTCTTGACAGGTTAGAAATTCTTTTTTTTTTACTTGATGAACTGAGTAATACAATTTAAACATTGAAAGAATGAAAGATGAAATGACAATTTTTGAAGTGTTTTCTTTTGAAAATAATAATAATATTCATTTAAAAAATTTTTCTGAACAAAATTATACTTTAAGTTAAACTATTTTTCTTCCTCCACTATCCAAAATATTGAGTTTTTTCTCAAACGAAGGTGCATTGCAGTTTTTTGTTTCACAATTCATATAAATTTCCAAAAAGTGAACTGATTGAAACAGTTTTATTATACGAAATTTCGATGCTAGTACCACATTCTCTTATCATTCAAGATAGCAATAATAAGTTTTTGTATGTTTTAAAGGTATAAATGATAAGTAATTCCATTGTAAGAAGGAGAGCTCTTAAAGCATTTCATGTAACGGAATTTATTTTTTAAAAACTCATAAATAGTTCTGATCTAATCAATTTCGAATTTTCAAGATAGTACATGATATAAGACGCCTGAAAGTTTTTCTAGTGGATAATCTCTATGAAATAATAACTATTGAAATCGTATTGTTTTCCTGTACCTTAGTTTACTATCAACGTGGAAAGATCTACGTTCTATTTTACCTTTATGTTTTTCAAGTTATTATGACTTGCATATTTTTCGTCCTTTTGGATGTGGGTATGCATGGATGCCTGTTTCCTTCATTCACATCCAAAAAGACTAAAGAAACTAATATATTCTTACAGCTTTACAAGGAGTGTAAGCATAGAAATATAATCGGATATATTTGATTTTTCATGGAGGTATAAAAGAATGAATTTACTCGGAAAATACCATAATTAATATATTAAATGATTTCTTTTAAATTAAATTACTTATTTCTATAGTAAACTATTTTATCAATTTAAGATTAATGATTTGAAAATTTTTTCTGTTTTGTTTTTGAAGAAAATTAACTACATTTATTCGTGATCGTTTTATTGGTCGTGTTATAAAAGATATTCGTGAATCTGCTCAATTATCATCATCATCATCAATAACTGATCGTAATCGTCTAATTGAATTAATTCCATCTGTATTACAAAAACAACTTGAATTATCAATACCAATTCTTCAATCAACATATTTAATCTTTAAATCTTGTGAAGAATTATGTGCATTAGTTAAATTTCTTCCAACATATGCAGATGATTTTTGTCAAGCAATTGTTGATCTTTTATTTAAAAATCGTGAATCATGTTATAAATTATTTTTATCAATTGTTGAAAAAAATGATGCACTTGGAGTATCAATTTATTCAAATGAATGGGTTAAAGATCCAGATATAAATCGTCATTTACGTACAATGCCTGCATTTGATGCATTTATACGTATGACAAAACAAGAACATCCAATAAATAATGATAATCAAGATGATACTGTTGAAAATATACGTTTTAGACAAACAAAAGAAACGGAAACATTATTAATTAATTTTAGTCAAAATGAGATGAATATTGATGATATTTGTACTAATTATAAACATATTAATGCATTAGCAACTATACATGAAAGTTTAGATTGGTTATATTGTAAATTAATAAATTATTTTGATATATTGGATAAATGTTTACATGATACAAAATGTCTTGATGCATTAACACCAACAACAGGTAAAAATTCAAATAAGTTTTTATTAACTCTTTGAATAAAATGTATGGTGAACAATGAAAACATAAACGATTGTACTATTTTATCTTCATTATTGTCACACTTTTGATAATAGATATTTCCGATTAATAAGGATAACAAGAAAGAATGAGAATTCCCAGAAGTGATGTATGTGTGTGGGAAAGAGATCAGAGATGTCCATCGAGGCGCTGCCGCGACGCGGTAGCGGCAGATTTTTTAAAAGGTCATCGCGGCAGCGGCGCGGTAGCGGCAGGTTTTTTAAAAAACCATCGCGGCAGCGGCAGGATTTTTTTTGAAGGACATTGAAAAACTGTATGAATTTAATAGAATTTCAGGATTTACAAATGAAACGCCCTGATATTGAATAAATCTGATGGACTAGTACCCATATCTCTGGTCAAATATAGTCACAGCAGTGAAATTAGAAACACTTTTTTGAAAACCGTCGCGGCAGCGGCGCGGTGGCGGCACGTTTATTTTATAATTCATCGCGGCAGCGGCGCGGCAGCGTTTCTTTTATAAGTCATCGTGGTGCGGCAGCGTCGCGGCAACATTTTTTTATAAACCGTCGCTGCGCGGCAGCAGCAGATTTTCAGCCGCAATGGACATCTCTGAAAGAGATATAACCATATATGCATTACATATGCATGTAAAAGTGAATAGAAAAAATATCAATGAATGATGTATTTTAGTTGATAGGAAAAAAGACAATAAGTGATATATTCACATACATTAAACTAATTTTGAATAGTTTAGAATGACATTAATGTTCATATCTTATTGAGCATTTACAAGGACAACTATTATTGACTAAATGATTCTCACTATAACATCTAGATATTTCAAACTTCTAGATGTGTAGACTATAAGCAGATCTTAATGCATTATTAAACAAAAAGCTATTAAGGATTTATTCCCATTAGGTCTTTGTTCCACAGAGGTGAAGTTCTCTTTATAAAAGTCAATATTTTAAGCTAAATCATACTTTTAAACTTTCAACGCTAATTCTGCTCATCGAAAGCTAGCCTATGTACCTCATTTCGCAATTTTTGACCTGTAGTTTTAATGAGACATGAATACGACAGTAAACTTATGTTTTCTACAATGTACATGAAAAGCGCCTATATTTTGAAGTATTTATATCTCGCAAAGGTAGCATTCAAAAACATGATTTTATTTGAAGTCTTGAATGTCTATGCGGGAAATTAAATATGTTCAGAGCAAAGGCCTGACGAGAATGAATCTTTCGTCATATTTTGCGCTATCTTATCCAGACCTGTTCATAGTCTAAAGATGTTTCTAAAACGAATTGAACATCTGGATATATACACTCATCAAACTTTGAGTATGACTTGTAAAGCCTAGTTTCATTCATATCTAATTTCGATTAATCAGATGAATACAAGTGTTTTACAATTATTATTGAAATAAATGGCAAAAAAAAAGAAACTTTGAATCATCAAACGTAGCCTATCGAAAACTATAAGAACGTAGTTTTTGAGATTTCCTAAATTTAAAACACAGAATATCAATACTAAAACATGAATATATTGCTTTCCTTTTACTTGCCATTTACATTTTGTTAAAAGAAACTATACCACAAGATACAACATGCTAAGCTTTACAATTTACAAATACAAAACCTATTTCATATATGCATCTTTTATTTTCGGAATGGATAAAATCTTGTTCGATCAATTTTCAACACTGTGAACAAGTTCATTTCTTTTTGTTACACAAAGAATTCCTTTTTCTTAGTTCACTAGTCAATGAACTATCATTTTTAACTTCATTCGATTGAAAATTATTAGTGAGAACATCTCATACATAATTGCTCTAAACTATTAAGATGAGAACTGTTGAATATTCATCTGTAATTGTTTATCAAATGCGTGTTGTTGTCTCGTCAATTGACGTAATCATCGTGCAACCGCCGTTTACCTTCATATTATACATGTTGAAGAATGACTACAATATGATTGCCATGTGAGAAATTTTCGTCAGAATTTAACTATCATTGAAGACTAGAAGCATCTAACTATGTCGCAGTGCTCTTTGGATAGTTAGTCTTTTCGATTTTATGCCCCTTTGTTCGTCTACTTTTTACCGATTCGTAGTATAAACATGTACTAATGGAAAGTATTTTTGTTTTCTCAATACATTGAATTTTCTTCAATAAATAACAGAAAAAAAAACCTATTAATCATTTAACAAAAAAAAAATGCTCATGTTCATAACACTTATAAAATCACTTAAAACATTGAAGAAGATCAGATAATAGTAAAGGTCTATTGCGAGATAATCTGAATGCTAATTCTCTCAAAGATGATTGTCAAAAAGAAAATAATAGTTGTAATAATTGAGTTACCGTTATATCAATAATGAATGAATTTGTCTGATTTATATTCATACGTATTTTTCTTTTCATTAATAAGCAATACAAACGCCTTTGGAAGAATGTCAAAATATATATCTCACCGATGTACTATTGAATTGTCTTCGACAATTTTTTATTTACGAGTACAAAGCTTAGAAAATATATACATAAAACAAAACGACTTTGAGGAACATACTTCTTTTAATATTATTCTCGTGAGAGATAGGATGGAAAAAAACATGGTTTCAAGCAAGACACTAGCATTTATTTCATAAGTTTTTCATGATGCATGTTATGATATATTGTATTTTTTTAATGAAATGTCATACTCCGATCATTCATCATTAAACATTATTTGTTAGTTCACGTGTTGTTGACTCAATTTTGATCATGATTCGAATAGATAACTCAGCGTTTTTTTTTTGTTAATTTTATTTTAGTCACACTTGGTTTTATTTCACGTTCAATCAAACAAAATTCATCTCATTATGATCAATTAAAATTATCACCTATAAATTTAGAAATATTTTCTAATGCAATGAAAACAACATTAACATTAGCTTATGATATATTACTTGTTTTATTTCTTGAAATACGTTTACATTGTTTTTATTATTTATCTTTATTTTTTCATGATACATTAAATTATGCCTATGCTTTAAATACAGATCCAGATGAAAATATAATGACATTAAATCGTGATTTATCACATTTACAAGAAACATTAAATTCTTCATTAAATGAAAAGAAATTTTCATTTTTATTTCAAGGTCTTGGTTTTGTTTTAGCAACAATATTAATACGTTCATCACCACGTTTTAGTCGTATAAGTGAATTAGGTGTAACGAAAATGTGTCGAAATATATTTGCTATTGAACAAACATTAACACAAATTCGAACAGCTGGTGATGCTGAATTAATGCGTGCACATCAATATTATGAATTATTATATTCAATAAAACCAGAAGATATTCTTAATATAATTGAAGAACATGGACAAGAATACAGTGAACAAGATTATTTACATCTATTACAATTGCAATATCGAAGTCTTTCAAGTGATGAGAGAGAACATTTTGATTTGAGTAAATATGAACAATTAGTAAAAACAGCTCTTAATCCCCAAATCAAGAACAGTAATTAAAGACAAATTATTTTTTTTTATTTTATTTTTTTTTCTCATATAGATTTTTATTTATTTCTATTGCATTTAAACTTCTATTTTCATTCCATTAACAAAGCAATAATATTTTTTGTTGATCAAACTAATTTTCCAAATATATTTTTTATTTTCATCTGTTCATTTGTTTTTTTTTTTTAGATTAAATTACGGTCCTTTTTTTTCAAGTGAACAAAATATATTTGAAATAAATCGTAGATCACTTTTATTTCACGAATAGTCAATATGACAATGCTAATATAGAAGATTTTGGTTACTTTTCAAGCATATTATGATATGCACAAAAATCTTTCACGTCGTATGTTAGATGAAAGCTTATATATATGATTCATAGGGAAGTAGAGTTGTGAAAGATAAAGGAACCTATCTTGAATTTTTGGTAAAGATTTTGTCATAAAAATCAATCTATTGAGATTCTATCCTTATTGTCTATCTTTTGCATTTCAAAAATTTTCAGAACTAATTAGGAAATCTTGTAAAAACGATGAATTATTTTTGAGATGATTTTCATCTCATTTGATAGACTCTACTAACAATAAAAGTTTTCCAATTGATTAATCGTTTTTGAATCTGGATTATATGCATCATGTAGAACCTAATGATGGTATAATTATCCTGAAACGAGTTGAGGCTCGTAACTGATTGCTGCGAAAATGCTACAGCATTACGGTATTTTTCAACTTATTGTCGTAGTGTTCTTCAGGTACACTCAGCAAATCAATTTTCGAATTTCGACTTGAAACCCTCTATATAGACAGTGCTTAATGAGAATAGTCTGTAATGATAGTGCCAGATCTTTTGGTTGTTCCTATTCTAAGACACAATTATGGTAAAAGCATGTCTTTTACAGCGCTTGTATGTATCGATAGCGGCAGTGTCCTTATTTCAAGATCAGAGCAAATGAAAAGACTTGAAACTTGTCTGTGCGCAAATTTTCAAATCGAAATTCGAAAATTGATTTGCCTGATGTTCTGAAGGAAGATCATGGAATTAAGTTAACCAAAAGATACATATTACTGCAGTATCTCCGCAGTACTAAGCTAAGGGTCTGAACTTTTCTCAGAATATGCATAGTACACAAGGATGTACATGATGCCAACAGTCCCAACTAAAAGACGATTAATCGATGGGTGGACTTCCTTTGTAATACTACATGAAATTCCAAAGAAATTCTATTTACGTGCCATTCTTCATCAGCGATAGTCATTTTGATAAGTTTCTAAACATAGCACTGTCGTTCTCTTCTGATTACTTTTTACATGAATTTTAAGTTTGAGAAATAAATCTAAGAACAATGTTTACCTTTTTTTTTTTGCTTAACAGAATTTCTAATATTAGTATTTGAGGATGAAAGACACTAGAAAATCTAATACTTTAGGAATGAGCTAAACACAATAAGAATTTTATTTATGTCAAGTTTGAAATTGAAATTCGATTTCAAAAGTGATCCGAGAGAGACCATGACATTTTATTGAAACACTCACCTGTTTAATTGTTACTGCATAAATTTGCATGATATATAGTTGACTTAAATTTAGATTAATTGAAAAAATTGAGCAATGGTATTTACATTATATAGTCTTATTGAAGCTGCTGTACTTTGCATAAATGCAGTAGCTGTTCTTAATGAAAGATTTCTTTCAAAATGTAAATAAATTTTTTATTTTTTCATCCAACATTTTTCATATAATACTATTGTAGTAAGTGGTGGTACTAATAAAAATTATCCTGATGTTAGTGGATATAATGTGGATTATCAAAATTCTGTAGGAGCTAAACAACAACTATTAACATTAATTCGATCTGTTCGCACTGTGATGAGAAGTAAAAATTATTTATTTTTGTTTTTATTTATCTAATTTCTAATTTAATAATTTAGTTCCTTTGATTGCATTTAATATTGTAATTATAATTCTTCTTATTTTATTTGGTTAAAATTCATGACATTTAAATTTTTTCTCTGTGTTTTTTTTTCTTTTGTTTTATTACATCCATATGTTTCAGATAATGTCAGCTACAACAGGTGAATCATCACTTAATTTAGAAAAAGATATTGAACGAGCAATTGTTTTAATTGATCGTCTTCGTACAACCAGTGAAATTCCTGAAGCAAAATTAACTGAATTACAACGTATATTACAAAGTGATTTTTTTCATGCTGTACTTGAAATTTATGAAAAAATTTATGAAACCGTACAAATAACTGGTTCACCTGAAGTTCGAGCTAATGCTACTGCTAAAGCAACTGTATGTTAAACAAGATTTCTTTTTTTTTTTTTGAATTAGATTATGAAAAAATTCAATAAATTTAGGTAGCTGCTTTTGCAGCTAGTGAAGGTCATTCTCATCCACGTGTTATCGAATTGCCAAAAACTGCCGAAGGTCTTGGATTTAATGTCATGGGTGGTCGAGAACAAAATTCTCCTATTTATATATCACGTATTATTCCGAATGGTGTTGCTTGGAAACATGGTGGATTAAAAAAAGGTGATCAATTATTATCAGTAAATGGTGTATCTGTTGAAAATGAATATCATGAAAAAGCTGTAGATTTACTTAAACAAGCTCAAGGTACTGTGAAATTAGTTGTGCGATATTCACCGCAAGTTTTAATTGAAATGGAAAATCGTTTTGAACAACAACGTGCACCAAGAAAAGCCGCAAATTCGCCAATAAATAAATAAATGAATGAATAAAACTATTTCAGATCGTTTTTTTTTTGTGCCCTATATAAATAACAATTATTATTATTAATATTATTATTATCTTTATTTAATCTAGTAGTGAATGATAGTTTGTTTTTGTATATGTAATATGAATCTCAGTGTTTTATTTACCGATATTTAATTTAGAATATATTAATTATATATATATATATATAGTCATTTAAATATATTTCTTTTAATTTGTCAATTATTTGAAGATAATTCTGACTAATTCAATTCACGTTTAAAGAGTATATTGAAGCCAATCCAATGCGCCGATTAATACTAATTCAACAAACTAGCGAGTTTTCATCGGTTTAAAAGACTTTTTGAACCTGTCACACCGAAGTAGTTCAAAAATTCTCGAACGGTTTCAACTCTGGTCTTTCCTTGTCGTACAAGTTTTAGGGTTACCCCACTAAGTCATCATTATTAGATTTTCTTTGTATTTACATTGACACTTGACATATACATAATGACATAAAAAAGCTTCGTTTTTTTTCTAATTTTAAATCTAGTAGAAGATAGAAATAAAGAATAACAAATATTTCCAGAGTGAATTCGTGTTGATATACGATGAGGGATTGCAGCATAGATGAAATATCTTTCTTCTAAATTTTCATTGATCACCTTTTTTTTCCCAAAAAAATTTTCTCATGAAAATATATTGATTGCTTTTTGTTTTACAATCATTAAATTAATCAATAATTGAACAAAAGAGAGTTAAACTTTCATATGGATCAAGTAAATAGTTCTTTCGACAATTCTTCTTCCATAAAAGAAAACTTTAAGATAATCGATTTGAACTTGGAATTGAAAAATCGCTGATTTGTTCATTTCTGATAATACTGCTAAAGAAAATAATTTATAGAAACACTCACATCCATCTTCATTTATGACACTATGATGAGCAACTAAATGCATGAGATTTCAAATCCTATCAAATTCAATATCAATTGTTAGCCTGGACCTTAGTATCTAATTTTTCAACTTTTATAGATATGTGTTAAATGATTAAGTTTACACCAATCAGATCTAAGAATTGAAATTAAAGCAGCTCTAAGTGAAAGGATGTATTAAAAAGCCTATGGAACATATTCAAATTGGATTCGAAAAGCTCATTGTAATTTTTATTCAAGAATGTGAAGAAAAAAACTTGAGGATATTCCTCTTTCGTGACTCAATATTGTTTTTTTTTGTGATCGTTTTATAATCTGAAGTAGTATCTATCTATTCAGTGTATTTTGAAATCGAAAGATTGTCTTTGAACATTAAAAAGTCAAACTCACAGAAAAATAATGGCAAAAACTGTATACTTTTTAGCCTTTTTCTCACACCAACGTTTTCATGAGAAAGATGCAGAAGTATCCTTATTTCTCTGGTCTAAGTACGTCCGACAGAGCTCAAACTTTTTTCACATATACTATACGCTACTTGAAAAGGATATTTTTCTATGTTTCAAAAAGCATGGTTCTGTTGATGCTCGACAGCTCTTACAAAAAAAAACTTCATTCAAAACAAACATGCATGTTATGAGGTACTTTCGATGTTTTCTTTTTTTTTATGCGAAGGACAAAATATAAAAAAAAGTAAAAGAGAAAACGACACCAAACAGTGTTTAGTGTTTGTAAAAAAAGTTTTCAGCTCGATTAAACATAAAATGTCGGAGGAACAAAGGCGAAAATTGGGGTGATTTTTGTAAGATCTACTTCTCCTGATAATTTCAAATTTTTTGATGAATTGTTGTTCTCAAAAACTTTTGAAAGGTGTAGAGCGGAGGAGATACCCTTTATCGAGATGTGTTTAAAACTGTGATTAACGAAGAACGATTTCGATTATTTTCTTCATACACGTCTTCGAAAATTTTGATAATGATCTATTTTTTTATCTAATATACAATTTGAATATAAATTATTCAGTTGATTAAGATAATATGAATGTTGAAATTGAAAGAAATTATAAATTAAATTCTAAAGAAGTCTAAATGAGAAAGATACGAATATAGGCTTCGAAAAATATAATTTATGTTTTCAAATTGAACATCTGCAACTAAGAGATGTCGATTTCTTTTTTTTTCGAATCATTTATTAAAATATAATCAACACTATCTCATCAATACACAATTGGAGAAGACAAAAATATCGTTCTTTTACATTATCATTTATTATCGTATCTATATGAAGCTCTTGAGAGCAAAGACGATGCTAAGATAGCTTTCTCCTTCTATTCTTTTCGTAAATACAAACGATAACGTAATTT